GCACAGGAGGGACATGGACCTGTTGGAGCGGGTCCAGAGGGGGCCACAAAAATGATCCAAGCTGGAGCATCTCTGCTGTGAGGCCAGGCTGAGGGAGCTGGGGTTTTTCAGCCTGGAGAAGAGAAGGATCCAGGGAGACCTTATGGTGGCCTTCCAGTCCCTTGCAGAGGCCTACAGGAAAGCTGGGGAAGGGCTGGTTACAAGGGTGTGTAGCAGCAGGATGAAGGGCAATGGTTTTAGCAGGGTAGATCTAGATTAGCCATCAGGGGGAAGTTCTTCACTTTGAGAGTGGTGAGACACTGGACCAGGCTGCCCAGAGAGGTGGTGGAGGCCCTGGAGACATTCCAGGTCAGGCTTGATGGGTTTCTGAGCAACCTGACCTAGTTTGGGATGTCCCTGCTCACTGCAGGGGGGTTGGACTAGGTGCCCTTTGGAGGTCCCTTCCCACCCAGAGCATTCTGTGGTTCCACGAATCTCAGCTGCGACTGCCCCAGTGCCCTGCACCACAGCCCCAGCCCTGCCTGGGCTGCCTGCCAGGCTCTCCTGAGGAGCTGTCTGTACAGGGGGGTGGGGAGGGGGCCCGTAGTGCCGGGGGACAGAGCAGCCTTCTTGGTGCTCCTGCCTGACCCGTGTCGCAGCAAACACATTTCTGCCTGTCCCTGGCTGTGCAGGAGCTGAGGGCCAGCACGGAGCCCTGTCTCTGCGGAGCTCGGGATGTTTCCTTCTCCTCCTTCGCCCCAGCCAGGATGAGAAGCTGCTGCTGGGGTCAGCATCCTGTGCTCGGAGGGCCCATGCGGGGCTCAGGCCGTGCACAGAGCGGCTCCTGGGCTGGTGGCAGTGCCAGCTCTGAGCCCTGTTCTCCCAGCGCTGGAGCAGGGAGAGGCCCCTGGGGTGCTGGATTCCCTGCGAATCCTCTACCCAAGCAGAGCTGAGCAAGAGCCTGTTTCAGCTTTGCATTCCTGATGTGGTGCCCAGGTTTTCATCAGGCTCAGTCCGTCATTGAACCGAACTGGTAGCCCACTGGCTTGAATTCAGGCAGCTAAAATCCTCTGGATGCTCCAGAATATTGCTGTGTGTTGGACTTTTTCTTTTTTTTCTTTTCCCCTTTGAAATTGGGCACCCAGCCATTTTTATGACTGAGAAAACAAATTTAGGAGGAGACCGGGAGACCTGTGGCACTGTCCTTCTGCAAGCAGCATGGACCAGCTCCAGGCTCTCCTGGCGTGGCAGGTGCTGGTGGAGATGCCTGAGCTCTGAGCCCGCCCCACTTCTGGGCTGTGCTGTCCCCCTGGTGCTTCGGGGCTTTCAGCTGAGAACATAACCCCTTCTTACTCTTCCCCCAGCTGAAATCAGCCCTGAGCTTCGCCCCTTGTGGGATGTCTGTCCAAACGTGGCTCCTCACACGTGTCTCTGCATCGGCGCTCGCACCCCTGTCCTGGCAGGATGGGATCCTGCTCCTTACCCGCTCAGATACTTGTCTGCACGGGCAGTTTGTATGAACCTGAGGAAACAGGTCAGCAGCTGCCTGTGTAAGCAGATCACTTGGCCAGATGATGTGAGTTTCGTGGAGGAGAGTACTAAAAGGGTAGAAAAAAAGGTTGTTTTGGCTGCTAGAATTTACATGGGACGTAGCTAAACATCAGGTTTGGGAGATAGTTGCCAGGAGGCATTGGAGTCCAGCTGGAGACAGCAGGCAACTCCTGCGTGCCGTGGTTT